AGATACAGCCAGCCATCAGTAGCTGATTGGTCTGTGGGCTATTGGCTAGTATCAATGACAACAGCCAATCTGTCCACAATAACAGTGTGATTGGTTCTCAAGTAGCTGACAGCTGACAGCTTGGGGCTGTGAGCAAGATAGAGGGAAACCTTCAGATCTCCACCAGCTCAAGAGCTGACTGACTCTGTTCTCTGTAGTAAAAGCCAATCTAAGCCTGAAGAAAAATAGCCTTCAGCAGTTGCTTTAAGCCGTGACTTTTAATTAATAAAGCAGATACTGTTGATAAATGTGAACCAGCCACGTTGCATCTTCTGTCAACCAGGAAAGCATCCGGAGGAGAAAACCTGAGAAGCAGCGCTCTGATCAGCACAAGAACCATCTCATCTCAGCAGACCAGCTGCTTGTAAGATGTTTCTGATTTTTTCAGACATATTTCTTGACTCTGACTCTCCATTGTTTCACTCCCTTATGCCAGGTCATAGGACTCACTATGGATCCATATCTTGAACAGGTAAATAATGTCATATCACACAGGTGTGGGGAGGGAATCACTCAGTTATCCACCTCCTTTCACATCAGCTGGTTCACACCGATGAGAAACCTTTTCAATGCACAGACTGTGGAAAGTTTCAAAGTTCTACAGGACTGATCCATCAATGTATTCACACTGATGAGAAACCATGTATATGCTCTGACTGCAGAACTACGTTCACACAATCTTATACCTTTCTTCCTTCCATGGACCCAGCTGGAACGTGTCACCTGGATTAATGCACTGTGGGTGTGTTAGTTCTGTCATGTGCATCGCTCCCATTATCATTCTCCAACTCTTCATCTATCCTGTTTCCCAGTTATTGCCCACCACCAGAATGCAATCATACAGCTAATTCCTATACAATTAGCAACAGGAACCTGCTTCATTCGCTCAGTTATGAGCTAACCTTTTTATTTACTCTATCATAGGACATGGCATCACTAGCTAGTAAATATTTATTGCCCATTTGTTGGGCCAAAGGGCCTGTTTCCACATGGTAGGGATTCTATGAAACTCTATGATTTCTAATTGCCCCTGAAATGCAGCAGTGTAATTAATGTAATGTAGATAATGCCATAGTGCTGTCAGGAAGGAGGTTCCTGGATTTTAAGCTAAAACCCTGTTTAGTAATGAGCTAATGTATTTTATCTGTTAACTTATCTTGTATTCTGTAACTCAATTGATTTCAGCCATCTGAACAAACAAGCATCGCACAAGCAATATCATACATTTATTTTGGTTTGGATAAGACCTAACCATTTGAAGCAAAAGAATAGCTGATGATAGAAAATTTGTTAAAGGAGAAAGATATACTTAATGACAAGTCAATTATTTTTACAACTCCACTCAGGTGATTGGTCTGTCGATGTGTAATCCTCCTGAAATTCTATCTCTGACGCAAATTTGCTTAGAGATGTAGATGTGATTCTTGCCTTAGGAGTATTCAATACTCAGCAAACACTGAAGTCTTATCAGTCTTTATTTTGAGCCCCTAAGTCACTATTCCCTATACAAAAATCAGGCTTTTTTTTTACAAATTAATGATTGACTCTTACAGTTGCCAACTGAATTCGTATTTTTTTTTAATCAATCTGTTGAGATATGCTGTTACATATTTCTGGAGCAGGTGATGCTTGAACCCAGGATCAGAAGTAGGCTGACTTAATTTATGCATTTATTTATTTATACCTGTTATTTCCAGAAGGGCTTCACGCACAACTGAGCAACTTTCCCACCCACCAAAATTACCGTAACTATTTTTTCCTCCTTTTTTAACTACTAATTACCAGCAAGTATCACCAGTGCAGCCAATTAAATACTTACAAGCAAAACCCATCCTGGGTAAGCCAATGTGATTTATTTGGTTCTCAATTATAGGAGCCAGTTGGAGATGTTTTTGTGGTGCAATGATATTGTCCCTGCCTTTGGGGTTTGTGGTGCAGTGGTAATGTCCCTGTCTTTAAGCCAGAAGGCCTGGGTTTAAGTCCCACCTACTCTGGAGATATGTCTTAGCAGGTTGATGAGAAAATATCTGTTTGTTCTCTTGTAATTCAATGGTGGTGTCCCTATCTGTAGGGCAGGGTTCAAGTTTCTCTTGCTCCAGATTTATGTCATAACACATCTAAACAGGTAGATGAAAGTATTTACAATGGAACTGTTTTAGATTCTGTTCTCTATTCATATCAAAAATATTCCATAGAGCCTAATTATATGAGGCTTATCAACGTTACACTACTTACATACTCTCTATATTTGCTCACAGACACAGTTTCTTACAATAATTAGCAACTTAGCAATAATTAGCAATGTGGTTGACTCTGAACTGCCCTCTGGGCAATTAGGGATGGGCAATAAATGCTGCCTGGTCAGCAATGCCCTCATCCTGTGAATGAATAAAGAAAAAAAATCAAGCAGTTAGAAGGGCTAAAAGGGGCCATGAAATGTCTTTGGCAAACAGGATTAAGGAAAATCCCAAGGAGTTTTATACATATATTAGTAGCAAGATGGTAGCTGGGGAAAGGGTAGGACCACACAAGGACAAAGGATGGAGCTGGAGGAAGCGGGTGAGGTTCTTAATGAATACTTTATGTTGGTATTCACAAAGGAGAAGGACATGGTGGATGGTGAGTTTTGTGGGATGTATGTTGATATTCTCGGGCATGTCAAAATAAAAAAGGAGGTTTGGGGTATTTTTGAAAAGCATTAAGATAGGTAAGTGCAAGGACAAATGCGAGGTGATGCATTTTGGAAGTGCTAATACGAGAGGGAATATACAGTAAATGGCAGAATTCATAGTAGCATCAGCAAACAGAGGGATTGAGGCATACAAGTCCATTGTTCCCTTCCAGTGGCAACACAAGTGATCAAGAAGGTATTTAGCATGTATGCTTCATCAGTCATGGCATAGAGTATTGGCAAGTCATGTTGCAGCTATATAAAGTATAGAACTTTGGTTCAGCCACATTTGGAATATTGTGTATAGTTCTGGTTGCCACACTAACAGAAGGATGTGGAGGCTTTGAAGAGGTTTAAAAGGATGTTGCCTGGTTTGAAGGGTATTAGCTATGATGAGAGATTGAACAATCTTGGTTTGTTCTTTTCTTAAATGTCGAAAGATGAGGGGCAACAAAATTATGAGAGGCATGGAGAGAAGGGTAATCGAAATCCCTTTCCCAGGGTAGAAATGTCAACTACTAGGGGACACAGGTTAAAGGTAAGAGGGGGAAAGTTTAAAGGAGATGCCAGAGGAGGTGGTAGAGGTAGAAACAATAGCAACATTTAAGAGGCATCTTGATAGATGCATGAATAGGCAGGGAATAGAGGGATAGGGACAGCATAGAGGCAAAGGGTTTTAGTTTAGAGTGTGTCAACACAGTCTTGACAGGCCAAAGGGCCTTTCCTGATCTGTACTGTCCTCTGTTCTTTGATTAGACAGACTCATCTATGTTCTATACAAGGGATGTTTATTTTGACAGATTTATGAACTTTTCAAAGACTGCCAAATGTTATTATAGGGCTTGTGAATCTGTTTGTAAAGTAGATAGTTTGTGAATGGGATGAGGCAGTGGAAAAATGATCAAAGGGGAAGGAGTTACGATGGGGCTGTTCTTTACACTGATCTGTAGAACTGGAGATGTCCCTTTAAACTGGTTCAAATAAAAGCACAATATTGCAGATGCTGGAAATCTAAAATAAAAATCAGAAAATGCTGGAGAAAATCAGCAGAAATGGCACCTACAGACAGAGGAACAATGTTCAGCTCCAAGAACTATTCTTTGGGACCGAAGGGGACTGTAAAACAATGGTTTTTACACTGTTGATGAGGTGAGGCAGGTAGTGAGGCATCCAGACCAAAATACAAAAGGTCTTTTACCACCAGTAGTACATGCTCCAACATTAGCCCCCCAACACACACTCAAAGAACAAAGAACAAAGAAAATTACAGCACAGGAACAGGCCCTTCGACCCTCCAAGCCTGCACCGATCCACATCCTCTATCTAAACCTGTCGCCTATTTTCCAAGGATCTGTATCCCTCTGCTCCCTGCCCATTCATGTATCTGTCTGGATACATCTTAAATGATGCTATCGTGCCCGCCTCTACCACCTCCGCTGGCAACGCATTCCAGGCACCCACCACCCTCTGTGTAAAGAACTTTCCACGCATATCTCCCTTAAACTTTTCCCCTCTCACCTTGAAATCGTGACCCCTAGTAATTGAGTCCCCCACTCTGGGAAAAAGCTTCTTGCTATCCACCCTGTCTATACCTCTCATGATTTTGTAGACCTCAATCAGGTCCCCCCTCAACCTCCGTCTTTCTAATGAAATAATCCTAATCTACTCAACCTCTCTTCATAGCTAGCGCCCTCCATACCAGGCAACATCCTGATGAACCTCCTCTGCACTCTCTCCAAAGCATCCACATCCTTTTGGTAATGTGGATACCAGAACTGTACACAGTATTCCAAATGTGGTCGAACCAAAGTCCTATACAACTGTATCATGACCTGCCAACTCTTGTACTCAATACCCCGTCCGATGAATGAAAGCATGCCATATGCCTTCTTGACCACTCTATCGACCTGCGTTGCCACCTTCAGGGTACAAGGGACCTGAACACCCAGATCTCTCTGTGCACTCACAAAGACACACAGACACACACAGACACACACAGACACTCACAAACACACAAACACACACACATTCACAAACACACACACATTCACAAACACACACACATTCACAAACACACACACACTCACAAACACACACAGTCACAAACACACTCACACTCACAAACACACACACACTCACAAACACACACTCACACACACACAAACACACACAGTCACAAACACGCACAGTCACAAACACACTCACAGTCACAAACACACACACACACTCACAAACACACACACTCACACACACACTCACAGACACACACACATACTCTCTCTCCACAGTTTCAGCACAGTTCTGTGATATATTTCCTCATACTCTCGAAATTAACATTTATCCTATGAGCTTCCTCTCGTATCTTTTCAGCAACTTCAGAGTTAGTTCCTTTGTAAAGTTCAATGGAGTTCTTCTTTACAGAATAAACATCGATCGCAATAAAAATTACTGTCAGAACTCCTGAACAAACGTTGATGGTTTTTACCAATGCACCTGATGTGGTACAGGCTGCACGTCTCACATTTCCAGCTCCCTTCACATTCTTCATTTTTTGACCATTTTGAGCAATGAGACTGATTTCATCAGCTACTTCTTCAGGAACTTTCCTTAATGCTTGTTTGGCCATTGCTGATCAAGTTGCTTTAACAGTACTTTTGATAATGGGAGCTGACTGTGTTGCAGATTGTAATCCAATTTCAAGGTTAGGATGGTTTCTCCTGCGTTTCTTCAATGCATGTATCCACTTTTTTACCCTCGCTGGAAGCTTTTGAAAGAATGGACTGAGAGCAGAATCTTTCTCTTCATCATCAGAGGGCAGACTCAAGAATTGATAATCAAGGCAGAAGTCTTTCAAATATTCTGTAATTTCTCTGTCACATTTCTTGATGATGTCCTGTGCTGTTTTCTGTTTTCTGGAGCGTGTAACATGTTCAACAATGTCAGGTTGGTGACAGTACCAGCTCCGCCAATGCTTGCTCCTACAGCCATGAGCACCAAAGATGTACCCATTGTGAAAGGGGCAATAATCATTCCTGCCAAGGATAAAATGCCCCCTGCAGCATTCGCAGAGCTTCCTGAGACGTGAACTATTTTTGTCCCTTTGTGTTGCCGATCAATGCTGTTTGCAATCTCCTCCAATTCACAGATGTGATTTGTCAACATGGCTCCCTTAGTTTCCATTTCCAACTTGTGTTGGTCCCAACTAAAATTGGAAAAAAAAATCATATTTTGCTTTTTGTTTTCGCAATGTCACCACTTAAAGACTGAAACAACAGAAACCGATCTTCAGCAGGATATTTTTGCAAATAAGTTCTGTGAAAAATTCAGAGATCAAGAAACTGAATTGCATTCGATGGCCAGTGCTATTCGAGATGGAAACAGGCAGGAAAAAGGGGAGATTGTCTGCAGGCCTCATTACCACAAGATGAGGAAGCACTGGGCATCAGTCATGGCACCAGAGAAATGCTGCAGGGGGAGAGAAATTGGTTTCCTGGGCAAGAGGCTAAGACCACTGTTAGGAAGGAGGATGAAGGGAGAAGGGGGAAGGGAAACTCTGGCTGAAGCATTAATATGGATCCAGGAGGAAAACCTCTGCTTCACCTGGCTCAGTATTGATTGAAGTGTTCTCTGAAAACCAAACCTTTTGTGCTGTCCCATTTTGAAGGACAGTTCTACTATGCCATAGATGTCAAAAAAGACAGACAGTGCACCTCACAATATGTGATACTTTCAATCAACCTCTCTCAGTGAAAAAGAGTCAGTGTAGTGTGATCATTCAGTCAGTTGTATATACATGTTGTTACAACAATGGACCAGAACCCCAAAGTATTTATTGGCATATTTTTAATTTTTAATTCCCAGATGTTTCTAAAATGAGGACTGTTACAGAGAGAAAATAAATAACGTGAATTTAAATTCAGTGATGGGAAAAGTTCCACGTGAAGCTCATGGAATATCATACCTGTAAAGTGTCAAGGAGAGACTTAACAAGAAAAGATAATAATGGGGCTAACTTTCTCTACTCTCAGCACCAGCTACCTCGTGCAGAGACACCTGTTTTACCTTTCAGGAGTAAACAAAAAAGGGATAAAAACTGACTGCAACACCAATCTGTGTGTGTTATTGGTCAGAAGTCTTAGTGTGTGGGCTCGAGTACTGTGAAGGCCACAGCTATTTAAACACTCCTGCACTACAGGTAAAGGAAATGTAATGTCTCACTCTCAAATGAGTGCTTTTGAAAATAAGAAGGTTTTGCTTTTAGAGGGAATGAAAACTATCCTTCAAATGGAGGTGGACAAGGGGAGAATGGTCATCCGTTGTAATGGATAGTTGTCGTATAATCAATGGCCAAAGAATTCAGACAATTGATTGGCACAGATTAAGCTAGCGGTCTCTAGAAATAAAGGAAGTCAACATGGGCTCAGAGGGTAGTCCTCTGGGAGTTGTCTTCACCAGATGGAAGATGGACCAGAAGAGGAGAAGGAAGACTCAGCAAAGAGTTTCCTAACTCCTCAGCTAAAGAGCAGGGTGCTGCTTTCACAACTTTAATGAGACCAACATGTTCCTGCCTGTCCTCTGGTGTCAGTAAACTATCCCCAGTTGTCATGGTTGTGAACATTCTTTATCTTAGTGAAGAATGCATCATATCTAAGCCGCTAGTTCTTAACAAACTCAATAAATTATCACAAATTTGCTTATAAATTGTTGACTGCCTATGTAGGGTATCTGTGATCGTGAGCTCACCAAAATCAACACCAATGAGGCCTTTAATTAATCCTTCATTACACATCACCAAGTCTAAACCAGCCTGCTTCATCAGCTGGTAGTGAGTCTGAGAGAGAGTGAAAGAAACAAGGACTGAAGTTGTAAGAAAACCATCAGTTCACTGGTTGAAAGAAACTGCTGTTACAGATTGTCTACAAATTGCTGTAAATTAGAAATGCATATATTTTTAAATGAGTACTTGGTTTTAACTGAGAAAGTTAGGGTCATTTTAAAGTGATAAATGTAAGGTAAGGGAAGTTAAGGTATGGTCTCCCAAGTGCATTGTATTGCAGCAGGAGTGTTTATATTGAAATAAGGCCCCAGTGTAATTAATATTCTTTAAAGGGAGCTACTAACAAGCTTAATCTAAAGGGCTGTCATTGGACCAGAAACTTCCAGTATCCCCACTGAGCATATGTGTCCAGCTGCAGCATTTCAGACATGGAGCTGTAGGTGAACTCACTGTGGAGTATCTGCGATGCAGTGAGGTTCAGTGAGGTGGCGATATTGCAGGTAAAAACAGATATACTGTTTTGGATATTGTTGGGGGAGATGACTGTGCAGGGCACAGCAACAGAAGTCAATTCCATGGAGCTAAGGCTAGTTCTGCTGCACAAGAGGCGTGGAAGAAGAATCGCAAGGTGATAGTAATTAGATTCAATACTAAGGCAACAGACAGGCATTTCTGTGGCTGCAAAAGAGACCCCAGAATGGCATGTTATCTCCCTGGTACCAGGGTCAGGATGTCTCAGAGCGGCTGTAGGATATTCTGGAGTGGAAAGATGACCAGCCATTGATTGTTATACACATCACTACCGATGGCATTAATACCAGCTTGGATGATGACAACCGGATCCTTCTCCTCTCCAAGTTCCTCTCAAGCCCCAAGGTAATGTCCATAACCCAGGCACTGGGCAGACTACCCAGCTTTGAGGACTCATACTCCCAGCACCAGAGAACAGTATCCATCCCTGAATGATACTGTCCTCTACCACATTCCTCTCCCCAATGGAATGGCCCCCTATGCCATGGTACCATGGTCAGTTTGCTCATCCTTCCTGCAGCTTCCATACTTGTTCACACAGTTCGCAAGAACCTTGAGGCTGGTGGACAATTGCAGGGACCAAGGCTCATTGGAAGTGACAGCCTGGGTCTGTGATAGGGTGGAGGACTGGAGAGATGGCCAAAGATGGCAGCGGCAGACTAGGCAGCATTCAGGCCCCTGTGCCAGGACTTCTTCTCCTTGTCTGCATTTTTCTTTTTTTCTTTTTCCCTCCACCCCTTTTTTATTGTCCCTCAAATTTACCTGAAAAACAGAGCCCTCCAGCAGGAGGGGGCTTCGATGGGCTCCGGAGTGCCTGTGGTGCGGGGCTGCAGAGACAGAGAGTCGGCCTGGGAAGCCTGGAGTAGGACACGTTCTTCCCCATGGAGGGGGGCCCTGATAGCAGCACATCGTGGGCTGGTGTAGCTCGGAGAGGGGCACTCTGTGTGCAGCATGGGGGGGATTGGCGTAGCCCGGAGAGGGGCACTCTGTGTGCAGCATGGGGGGGGGCTGGTGTAGCCTGGAGAGGGGCACTCTGTGTGCAGCATGGCATGGGCTGGTGTAGCTCGGAGAGGGGCACTCTGTGTGCAGCGTGGGGGGGATTGGTGTAGCTCAGAGAGGGCACTCTGTGTGCAGCACGGCGTGGGCTGGTGTAGCCCAGAGCAGGACTCTGTAGCAGCGGAGAAGGAAAAGTTTGGACACTCTTTTAGTTGTCCTATTTTTATTCTGTGAATAGTGCTTATGCACTATGTGATGGCACAAACTTTTCACTGTATTTTATATTGAATGCACGTGACAATAAAGGATATTCATTCATTCATTATTCATTAAAGGCTGGATGTGCACTAGATTGAAAAGCAACCGTCCAAGATAATAATCTCTCGATGGCTACCTGATCCAAACTGGCAAACTAGCCCAGGGCATAAGGTAAAGGTGATAAAGGAGTGACTCGAAGATTGATGTGGGTGGAATGGGTTTCAGTTTGTGGGGCACTGCCACCAGTACTGGGCTAGAAGGGAGCTGTTCGGATGGAATGGACTTCACATGCACCAAGCTGGGACAAGTGGGCTGGCAAAAGAAACATCAGTGAGTTAGCCTCTCTGTATGTCTCAGGGAGAGACAGTAATGGAGAGAATCAGATCTGTTGAATGTGCCAAATGTATGTAAAAGAAAAGCTTGTAACCTCACCGGTTCAGTAAGAAATTTTAAAATGCAGAGTTGAGAAAGGGTATTGCTGGGAAAAGGAGTTGAACTTCTTTGGCTGATCTTTCAAATTGTTCTCATATATAACTGTTTATTTTTTAGTGTTGAAGGGTGAAATGAAGTAAAATGAAAAGATAGGAATACTAATGGGGTACTTGGGATGTAAGGGGTTAGAATAGGAAGAAGTACAACATAGTAGATTACTGAAAGATGACATGCACACAGGACTATATGCCACAGAGAGTGGCAAACACAAAAATAACTTCCCACCCCCTAAAAACAAACTATCAGTTACTAGTGGTGTACCTCAAGGATCTCAGTTACTAGTGGTGTACCTCAAGGATCTGTTTTGGGGCCACTGCT